AAAAAAAAAATACAGTTATTATGGTGTTACTCAGGCTGCCACCCTATCCCAAATAAATACATGATGAATTTAAGATTTATTTATTTATTTGCGATAGAGTCTCACTCAGTTGCCCTGGGGTTGAGCACTGTGGCATCATAGCTCACAGCAACCTCAAACTCTTGGGCGCAGGCCATCCCATTGCCTCAGCCTCCCGAGCAGCTGGCACTACAGGCATCTGACATAACACCCAGCTAGTTTTTTTTTTTTTTTCCCCAGTAGAGACAGGGTCTTGCTTTGCTTAGGCTTGTTTTGAACTTCTGAGCTTATGCAATCCACCCATCTCGGCCTCTTAGAGTGCTAGGATTACAGGTGTGAGCCACCATGGCTGGCCAGATCTAAGATTTAAATGTGAAAAATAAAACCATAATATAATAGGAAAAAGTACAACATAATTTAAAAAATCATTTCAGAATAAGCAAAATCTTTTCAAATTTGACATAAAACTCATGGTCACAGAGGAAAGGGCTGGCAAATTTATACTTCTCTCACACGCAAAACATAGAAATAAAAAAAAAATCAAAAAACAAGTAATAACTGGGAGAAAATATTAGCAACTCATATCAAAGAAACTGGACTTAATACATTAATATAAAAGTTCCTACACATCAGTAAGAAAGTGACAAGCAATCCAATAGAAAATGTGCAAAAGCTATCAACAGTTCATAGAAAAAGTTCTTTAAAAATATGAAAAGGTGTTCAACCTGACATTTAGAGAAATCTACATTATAACCAAAATGATATATCCATTTTAAAATCTATCATATGAGCAAAGATATAATTATGACAGGTGGTGCTGAAGGCTCAGGGAGGGGCACTTTCATACATGGTTGATGTGAATGTAAACTACTGGCATAGCCTCTATGGAAGGAAATAAAACGTAAATAGACACAATGATTTATGTAGCAATAAAACCAATGACATAGAACTTCATGCACGGACACAGAAAGGTCTCTATGACTAACAAAAATGCCCCACAATATACATAAATAGGCACATATGACACCACTTTCATATGCACAAATGAGTATTTGTTTGCAAAGGTACAGAATCTCCCTGGGTGGAGTGGTGGTGGGGAGAAGACTTGTTAAATAATTGTCTATCAGGAAAAATGCATGACTAGTGATAAACGTGGGAAAGTAGACTTTTCATCATGTACCTTTTAAAATTCGCCTCTTCTATATATATTACTTATTCTAAAATTAAATTAAATTCAAGCACAAACCAAACTGAATCTGCCTCTATAGGTTGTATCTCTCCTATCCTCCCATTCAATGTCCAAACATAACAGTACTTTAAAAAAATTAGCTAAATTCTGCCACATATTTGCTTAAAGTCTTCAAATGGTTCTGAATAAAACTCAGAGCAAAAACCTACCCTCTTACCTCTTGGACCTCATTTCTTACTATTCTCTCCCTACCTCAGCTACCTGCCATTTCTGCTGTTCTTGGAATAGGTTACCCACATTTCTGCCTTAGACTATGCACTTGCTGTTCCATCTAACTGGAATGGCGTGTGGCTCACTTCTTCCTCTCTTTCAGGTTGTTGGCTCAAACACAAGTGATGAGTTCTTCGATCATCTCAATTAAAATTGTAATGCCCTCTCTCAGTCCTTATCCTCTTTCCTTGTTTTATTTTTCTTATAGCCCTAGTCAGTGTCTATGTACTATATATTTAAAAGTTTGTTTGCTGTTTCCCTCCCTTATTTACGATGTATATGCTCAAAAAAAAGAGGCTTTTTAGAGCATACACAGGGCTTAATGTGAATGTACCCGTGAGAACAAAAAACTAAAATCCTAACACTACTGCGTTACAAGCACTGATGCCACGAGGTCAAGACCAAGAAAAATCAGTTCTATCTGACCTGATAAAGTGATAGTTACACCATGTCAAGAAAATGATAGTCGCCGTCCTACAGCTTAAGAAGGGCTACAGCGAAAAACGTTCAATTCGAAACTTCCCATTTGTAAACAGCAGTGGAAAGAAGCGCGGGTGAGCGCACTGAACCTATTCTGTAGCTAAGATCGGGGTCCGGTCGGCGTTGCTCTCCGCAGCGCGGAAGCGGCGGGCCATTCGCGGAGCCGCACCGGGACCACTTCGCCCCCCGCGCCTGCCCCCGTCCCCAGAACCCGCGGCCGTTACCTTGGTGCCTCCGAGCCGTAACACTTCCTCAAGGGAGAACCCATTCTCGGCCTCACTGCTATCACCCTCATCTTCCTCGTCTGGATCTTCCACCGTCTCCTCCGGGCGCCAGGGCCGCTTGGCATGGAACTCTAAAGGTTCCTTGGCAGCCGCCATAACTAGCGGAGCACACGGGCACTACCCGCAGCTTACTTCCGCTTGGCTCCTGACGTACTTCCTTCCGGGGGCGTGTCCTCTCCCGGAAATGGCCTCAATTCCCCGGCCTGGGGCGGTGTACGGCCGCCTGGGAATGTTGGCATGAGCGTCCTGGTGAGGTCCGGCGTGGGCCCGCTGTGTGTCGCGGCACGCACGGGTAAGCCTCCGGCCCGCCGAACCCTGGTTTTTGTGGAAACCTCAGGGGGCGCGTTCCTCAGCTGGGGGCTCCTACTTGAAAGTGCCCTGGTCTGTAGACTGGCGCTCAGCTAGATGCCAAATGACTGTGCTGTGCGGGCAAGTGCTAGCTGTCTCTGTGCCTCGTGGGCGTGCTGCGCGCATCAGTCCACCTGGCGTCGTGGCAAGGTTAAGGTTTAACGAAGCTGCTTTTAAAGTGCTCAGAGTGCTTGCACATAGAGATACTAGATTTTATAATGTGGCCTGCTTAATCTATGTTTTTCACAGTTATTCCCTTTATTTGGAGAGGGAAATACTTCAGCTCCGGGAATGAGCCTGCGGAAAATAACCCAGTGACACCGATGCTGCGGCATCTTATGTACAAAATAAAGTCTACTGGCCCCATCACTGTGGCCGAGTACATGAAGGAGGTGTTGACCAACCCAGCCAAGGTATGGGTCGGGTGGCCTGAGGACTAGGCCAGGGCTAGATTGGAAGGTGTGAGTCAAGAGGGAGAAACCCTATAGGCCAGACAGTGGGGTTGCCTTCAAGGGGATGAGCCACCACCAAAGACCTGGGGACAGGTAAATTGATCTATCAATTGGTCAGGGCTGGGTTAAGTAAGGGGCATTGCCAGCAAAGAGAAGACACATTTCAGGGGTGTTTGGGAGACAGAATGTAACCAATTGGATTTTTGGACGAAAGGATGCCTCTCCTGATTGGGCTAAGGGTGGATGCTGTAGACTCATTGTTCTGAGAGAAAAGAATGCAAGAAGGGTTAGAGCAGCAAATCTTATCCGGCAGGGTAAGGATGAAGAGTTCAGTCTGATATATGAATTCGAAGTATGTGGGACTCTTAGGTAGAAATCTCTAGTAGGCAACTGGAAATAGTAATTTATTGCCTGGAAAGTTGTCTGTGTTCCCATGGCTTTAGTGGGCACTAGAAGCATATTTTAGGTTTTCTTGAGAATGGAGCCTAGGTCTTTACTGTTTTAGGATTAAGCACTGTCACAGCTTTCTGACCTGTATTTTCTTGTCTTCTCTACAAAGCCATTTGGTGAAAGCCCATATTCCTTCATTTTAGACTATTATAAAGTTTTGCTGGGTTGAAGTAGGACATCTCTGGAATTCCAGGGTTGGTTTGGCTATTGGTGTTACATGTGGCGGTGTAAGTCTAGTGTTCAGAGGTTTACTCAAGGCAGGCATCTTTTCATTCCTCTGGACAGTGCTACAAGATAGGTGGTTTAGGCTATTGTGGTGGTAGTAGAAATGGAGTGAGAAGAGAGTGGTTTAGAAATGGACTGTCAGGTTGGACACACAACCCTGACTCAAGTACAACAAAATCGATACATGTAACTGAAAACATTTGTATCCCCAGTAATATTTTGAGATAAAAAATGGACTGTCAATATTTGTTTTTGGAATGGGTAAAAGAGAGGACCAGATTCCTAGATTTTTAGCTTGAGCAAGTAGGTTATGATGGTGCCATTTATTGAGGTTAAGGTGGACCAGGTTTGGAAGAGTAGTGGGGACAGGGTTACATCAGGAGCTACATTTCACACATTGTGTTGGCAGTAATAGCCAGGTGGAGGTAGTAAGCAGCTGGCTATAAGAGTCTGCAGTTTAGGAGAAAGATTGGGTAGGGGTATATAAACTTGGTTGTCAGCAGTTTATAGATGGTGTTTAAAGCCAAGGAACTCTTATCTAAGAGTGTACTTAGATAAAGGAAGATTTCCCAGCATTAAGACTTGAGGTAACTAAAGTTTAAAGTAGAGTCTTTTAATCTAGGGACCCTTGAATAGAAATGAGGGCATTCATGAACTTAGATAGAAAAAAAATTACACCTTTATTTTCATTAGTTTGTACATGAAGTTTAGCATTTTTGCAATTATTAACATAGGCAACAAGTAGCATCAGCAAAACCTATGACTTTGTCATCAGTAGAAGTCACTGGTATTTTCATATCATAGTAGAGTGACCACAGGTATCGCAAACTACCATTTTGCTCATGCTTACTTTAAAACTTTGTTAATTACTAGGTCTTTGGCTTGATTTTTTAAAAAAATATATGAGGAAAGAAGTATACAAAGGTTGCCAAACACTGTACACACATTTTATGAATGGAAAAAATAGTCTACTAGTTTTCTAAGGTGACTAAATATTACTTTATAAGATTTAGGTAAAGGTAGAGTGTTATCTTGCTTATTTAGAGGAGAGAACTTTCGTACTAAATATTTCATTGTATACATTATATAATTGAGGGGGAGTTTCAAAAAGCATTTTTTGAAAATTAATTGTGTTCTCCATTTTTTCTTTTTATTCAGGGCTATTACGTGTACCATGACATGCTAGGAGAAAAAGGAGATTTTATTACTTCACCTGAAATAAGTCAGATCTTTGGGGAGGTAATTTCTAATATAAACGATGAAAGAAACGGTTATCACAAACATTTGAGCACAGATCAAGCTGTATTATTCTGTGATAGTGTTTTATAGCCTTTTTTTGTGACTTATCAAAAGTTTTAACATTTTAGTAGTTTATATGCTAGAGAAATAGGCAATAGAGGAGAAGAAATTAATAAAGAGGACATTTGCAAAGTTTATACTTCACTATAGAAAAGAAAATAGAGGCTCGGCGCCTATGGCTCAAGTCGCTAAGGCGCTAGCCACATACCCCTAAGGTGGCGAGTTCAAATCCAGCCCGGGCCCACCAAAAACAACAGTGACGACTGCAACCAAAAAATAGCTGAGTGTTGTGGCAGGCGCCTGTGGTCCTAGCTACTTGGGAGGCTGAGGCAGGAGACTCGCTTGAGCCCAGGAGTTAGAGGTTGCTGTGAGCTGTGATGCAATGG